CATAGTGTTGCCATCTGCTTCTGGGGAGGCCTCAGAAAGCTTATGATCATGGCGGAAGGGGAAGGTGGAGCAGGCAGGGTACATGGCAAAAGCAGGATCCAGAGAAAGAGTGTTGGGTGGGGTAGGTGCTACACACTTAAACACCCAGGTCTTGTGTGAACTCAGAGTGAGAGCTCACTTATCACCAAGGAGATGGTCCAAGCCATTCATGAGGGATCCACCCCCATGATCCAAACACCTCCCACCAGGCCCCACCGCCAACACTGGAGATTACATTTCAACATGAGATTTCGGTGGGGACAAACATCCAAACTATATCAGAGATCAAACCCAAGGGTGAGAGAGCAAAGTCTGCCGTTAAGTCAGTCCTTATGCATCAGTCAGGACAGGTGAGGCTCTGGCACAGTAACAAACAACCCTATAGTCTTGGCTTAACAAAGCAAAGAGTTTTTTTTTTTTTTTTTTTTTTTAATCTCTTGCTATATGCTCATCACAAGTCAAGAATTTTCTGTTCACTGTAGTCACAGAGGGACCCAGGCTTATGGAAAAAATCACTGTCTTAGGCTTGTCAGTCACCGTGCCAAAGGGATAAAAGGACTCTAGAGGGTTTTGCATGAGTGCTTAAATGTTCTAGCCTGGAAATCACACAAATCTTTTCCATTCATAACTCTGGCCAGAAATAGTCTGTGAGCAGCATGCTTATCACAGTATAGTATTTCACCAACAAATGAAGATCTAAGTATGTCATTTCCTTCTGTGTGAAGAGGCTTTGCCAAAGTTCCAGAAAGTTTTAGAAAGCCCTAGAAAAAGAATTTTTTAATCAATAAAAAGTCATGGAGGATCATGATATTCACAATTTAGATTATAATAGAAATAATATAGTGGCTACTAGGAGGCTCATCTTCTATTGGAGTTGCTTTCGATAATGATAGTTTGGGAAATATGAGGATCTGAGACCAATATGACTTACAAACTCTAGTCATTTCAAATGGATAGAAGTTCACTTTATTTTTAACCACCCAAGACATCGCCACTGACAACCAGCAATGGTCAGCAAAGCAACAATGACACTGCATTAGCATTCAGTTTCTTGCTAAGCACAGCTTCTCAAGTTTACACAGAGAAGCTACTGTCTTTTTATTACAGAATATATCTACTTCATTATGGTTTTATATTACTGATTTAAAAAATGGCAGAAATAGTTAATTTGAAAAACAATTAAAGAGGGCTCAGAAATAAAATTAAAATGCATATTGCCATCTTGGAAACAGAGGTTGTCTATATAATTACAAAATTCACAGTGATGTGGTGATCACTGTACATTGATATTCTTCTAAATTCGTATCTATCGTCATGCATTATGACAGTGTTTTATATCAAGGAACCCTAAATGTTATCCTCCTAGTTGCTAATGGAACAGGAGACCCTGTTCTACTATGATATTGCATTTCCGCCTTTTTAATTAAGAAAATTAGTCCCACCACAAATCTTAAAGTTTCAAAGGTGATTTAGGCTATATCTAATCTGGTTTTACTCAATCCAGATAACTCCTTAATGTAGAGGGCACATTTCTGTTTAGCCTTTGTTGAATATTCAGTAATAGAGAGCTCATTACCTCAAAGTAGAGGCCACTCACTTTTGAAAAGCTCTAATTGTTAGGAAATTCTTTCTTATATGGAGCTGAGATTTTCCTCTTCATATCTTCTGCTTTTGGTCCATATCTTCAGCTTTTGCTTCATATCTTCTGCTTACTCAGTCTTGCTGAGTAAGCCTCAACTAAGTCTAATCCACCCTGCATGTGGCAGTTACCAAAGACGGAAAACTGATTCTCCCGTCTTTCAAATCATATATTTTTCTGACCAGACATTCCCAGGTCTTCTGACATTTCCTTTACGGGTCTTGTGTCTATCTGGTTTTCCCCTCAGTTGACTAATATCCTTGCTCTGGACATGATTCTCATACTAGTGTGGTTCAGAATCATGTTCATTTAAGAATCCATCACCATGGAACATTGCTTGTATCAGACTTTCCATCAAACCAATTTCGTAAGTTTTTTCATGATGCCAGGGGTCTCCCAACTTCTACTTAAGTGATTGTATATATTTTTTGATCTAAGTGCAGCAATTAAGTTTATTTCTATTACATTTCATCTTATTATTTTTATCCCATCTTTCTAGCCTGTCAAGATGGCTTTGAAATGCTTTTTATAATCCATCATATTAAACCATCCCTCTCAGCTTCGTGACATTTGCAAACTTAATAAACATGCTGTTTGTGTCTTTCTCCAAGGCATTAAAAGAGATGTTGAAAACGACATGAGAAAACAGAACACCCCACTTTCAGTTTCAAGTTATATTTTTCTTCCTTGAAGATTTCTTGAGAGATTTTTAAATGTGTTGCTGAAAGATAAAGTCTATGACATCACTCGGCCGGTAAAAGTTGGATGGATATGAGGGATAAAAGATGGACATAACTAGGTCTTGTGAGATTTCTCCTTTGTGAAACTTTGCTGATTGCTAATGATTCTGAATTCCTTCTAGCAGCATTCAGAATTACGTAAGAATCCATTCTAAAAGTTTGCTGTTGGTTGGCAGTGATCACACTACTATTTCTTGAATATATATCCTCCATCCCCTTTATAAAGATCACTCTTGTCCTTGATTAGGTAGCCTTTCTTTCATCCTTTTTATGTGTCCCTTTTTGAGCAGTGCTCATCAAAGAGCTCAGTGTGAAGTCATCTTAGGTATTTAGAGCCATCTTCTCCTTCTTTTATAGAATCAGTTTCAGAGTAGCAGTTTCTGAGTAGCAGGAACTGATCCTATAAAAGTAAAGCAACAACTTTGGAGCATGAAACTTTAGGGGATTTCAAAACCTGGCTGGAGTACATATCAGTTGCGAGTTCAATACTGTGTGTCTGCATAGATGGAGTTTTACACAGCTGGGGAATGCAAATGGGTTGTCTTTCGCTGCAGTATATGTTGTTTTCAAAGAGACATTTAAGCATCTTCCTCCTCAGTCCTGCCCCTATGAAATGATCAAATATCAAAGGAGTATTGGCTTGAAGGAGTGGCTGATGATTAGTTTCTCAAGCACATACATGTCTTTTTGGGGTCTTCACGGTGACTCCTTCAATTTTATTAACAGAATTTTAGTTTCAGAGTAGCAAGGAAGATGCAGGTGTTATCAGGAAGCAAAGCATAGGTCTTGCGTCACAAATCACGCTTTTCAAATCTCAGCGTCACCACTGACCAGCTGAGTGGCTTGAAGCCAGTGGTTTTTAACTGCATGGTAATTTTTTCCTCCTGGGGGACATTTAGCAATGTTGGAAGACATTTTTGGTAGTCACAGCTTGGGGTACTAATTCTATCTAGTCAGGGAGGATGCTAAACATTCTAAAATGCATAAGACAGCCCCATAATAAAGAATTTTCTGACCCAAAGTATCAATAGTTCTGCTGTTGGGAAACCCTACTTTAAGAAAAAAACTTAATCATTTTGAGCTTTAGTTCCTTCTTCTATACAACGAGGGTAACAATGATCTGTGGTGGTGTGAGAAATGCACACAGTACTGTACTTACAGCATATAACATAATAACTGGCATGTAGCCAGCATAAAAAATGGTAATTGTTTATGTATTAGGCATTGTGTTGTATACGTCTTAAGACGTTATCAGCTTACTATTAAAAGAGTAGTCCAATTACTCCACAAGTATTTTTTGAGCCCTTTCTGTGTACTAGCCACTGATCAGTCTGCTGCAAATAGATTAGTTTCAAATAAAACAGTCTTTGCCCAACAATCTCTGCCCTCAGGGAGCTAACAACCTGCAAGTAGGCATTTGTGTTCCCCGTCTTGCCACTGGGAGAACCCAGGCTCTGAGAGGTTCAACTAAGAAAGCAACATGGTCAAGATTTCAATGCTAACAGAGGTAGAACTGGATTTCAGTTTAACCAGCTCTGCCCGATTCTATAGTCCACATTCTTTCTACTCCATGATTGTCAGGTGCCTACTTTTAGCCTATGAGACATGTGAGGATTGTAGCTCTCACCTCTGTGCTAATCTTACCGATTCTGTTAGGATGATCATCCATATCCTTGCACCCTGCAGTATATGTCTACAATGATATTCTGATATTCTTTTTTTATATTTCATTTCATTTCATTTTTTTTTGAGACGGAATCTCGCTCTGTTGCCTAGGTTGGAGTGCAGTGGTGCAGTCTCGGCTCACTGCAAGCTCTGCCTCCGGGTTCACGCCATTCTCCTGCCTCAGTCTCCTGAGTAGCTGGGACTACAGGTGCCCGCCACCACACCCAGTTAATTTTTTTGGATTTTTAGTAGAGACGGGGGTTTCACCATGTTAGCCAGGATGGTCTCAATCTCCTGACCTCGTGATCCGCCCGTCTCGGCCTCCCAAAGTGCTGGGATTACAGGCTTGAGCCACCGCGCCCGGCCAAGTTTTTTATTTTTTTTTGAGATGGAGTCTGGCTCTGTTGCCCAGGCTAGAGTTCAGTAGCGTGATCTTGACTCACTACAACCTCCACCTCCGCGGTTCAAGTGATTCTCCTGCCTCAGCCTCCTAAGTAGCTGGGATTACAAGTGCCCGCCACCATGCACGGCTAAGTTTTGTATTTTCAGTAGAGATAGGGTTTTGCCATGTTGGCCAGGCTGGTCTCGAACTCCTGACCTCAAGTGATCCGCCCGCCTTACCCTCCCAAAGTGCTGGGATTACAGGCGTGACCCACCATGCCCAGCCTAGTCATGACGCATTTCAAAGGCGAATTAGCTTTAGAATGTGTTACATGAGCAATTTCCCCCAAAGATGATTTGCTGACGCTTCTCTTGTGCAACACTGAGAAGAACCATGTAACTTTCCTGTTCAGAGAAGATATTCATGACTGGCCCCAGTGAGAGAAATTTACCTGATAGTTTTAAAATCCAAATTCATGTTACCCAAACAAATATATTCTTCACACACATTTATACCGAATGAACCGCATTCTTACCTATAACTTTTCCCAGAAAGAGCGACTTGGGAGAATTGAAGAGGGTGTCGGAGGAACTTGGCAGATGGTAACTCACAGACGGATAATGATCGAGCTGCAGGAAGAAAACAGGAGACGCTTTTAGAAGGACGTCACTACCCTGTGTGGAACCAAATCTGCCCTGTGGGGATGACGTCACTCTTTGAACCCCGGTTTTCTGATATCTTATTTCATCAGCCCTGACTCTAAAACACCAGCCCGAGAAAAGGGAAACCCATCTCTTCCTTTGCTGGGGTTCTTTGAAAAAATCCGAGCACGGTAAGTGAAGATCCTTATGAACAGCTTTCCAGGTGATGTACATTTTCTGTGGATGATTTACCTACAGGATTAAGATCCAGGCTCATTTTAATGGAGTAAAGTCTGCTTGACCCAATCTCCAGTGTCTCTGATATAGAATATGCCACAACTACAGCAATGAAGCTTTGCTGAAGCATTTTATTTTGTGATA